TCTGGTTTTGAAAAATTGTGTTTTGGGTTGTTAAACGGTGGAATCGGGTCTGTGACCTGTTTGAAAGATAAATCGCCACTTCCAAAGGCTTTCCGTTTACTGCTACTGGTCTTTTCTATTTTTCTTGGTTTGGCAGAAAAACTGAACATCAAGGAGGGCTGGGAGACAGAAAGCAGTACTGAGGGCCACATACTTAAAGCCTAAGTCTAGTGACTTTTCCCAGCTAGAGTAGACCATGGAATCTATAGTATTTACAAAAATATTGACTTACCACTTAGTAATTGAGCTAAAGGGTTGACTTTAGCTGGGAACAGGAATGAGATGTACTCCCAGATTTTGATTACCTAAATCATTTTAGTGACAGCTTTTAGACCCTGAACCTTTTTTGGTTCTAAATTATTTGTATTGATGCTTTTTTTTTACATATTCGTTATTATTTTTGTTTTTTAAAAAATGATGAAGGCTTACAGTGGCAGAGTACCATATATGTAGATACTTCTGTAGTAAAATAATAGAAACAAATAGGAAAATGAACTTTTTGAATAGACAGCTTTTGTGGCAGCATACTTTTTCCACATATTCTGTGTTCTTGCCCTTTTTATGCAACTGTGAGAAAGCATTTTATTAAACCTTTATTTGATGTATTGGAAATACTGTTCCCTGAATACTTTGTCCCTACATTATTAGAAGATTTTAAAAATCCTTATTTCTCTGTAGCAGCTGCTAAATTTGTCGCGGCTATCCAGTCCTCTAAGATAATTGGACTGCCTCATGCTATCTAAATATTTTGCTTTTTGCTGCTCAAGATTTTTTCCTGAGCTTTTAGGGGAGGAAAGGAATGAGATAGACAGTTTTCTTCCCGAGCATAACCAAGCCACACCCAAACATAAACTTCTGCAATAAAAATGAAGCTGGTGAGGATATTCTGGGTTTGACATTCTAACTGGGTATACTGGAATAGTATTGGGAAGTCATTTTATGTGCTATTGTTTATATAATCTGTCTGTAACCTTCTCTTCTTCCCATTCTTCATTTCACAAATTTGCATGTGGGTTTGGCAAAGAGTCGGCACAGTCAATAACTGCCTTTGGGAATGGCAGCCTGCCAGTGTCACTTGGTTGTCTGAGCTAGCATGTGTATGTATGTGCATCAAAAACTCTCACATCATTTTCTTGCATTCTGATATTGATAAATGTATGCATGTGGCTGGGCTTAAGGAGATAATCAAAGGGAATGGCTTCTTTCCAAGCATCAGCCACCAGTCACACTGGGGAAGTTTTTGACAAGTGGCCCAGATTTCACAGTTTATCCAAAAGGTGAAGAGTGTTCATTAAACAGAAACATTATTAAACAAGACAGAGATATGGTTTCTATGTGAGCAGATATTTTCTTTACTTAACATTCACACGTTGCTTATGGATTAATTAGCCCATCTGCTCCAACAAATGTATTCCACCCTCCTTGGGGAGACAGAAGAGACCAACAGCAGAAGCCAATTTCTCTGAAGTATTTACTAGTTTGATTATATTGATATCCTACTTTCTAGCCACTGAACTCATGATAATGTATGTTGTGTTTCCTATCCAGGCATTAGTTACGGCTTTAGCATTATGTACTGTCATCTGCTTTCTGAATTCTATAGGGAAAAGATGAAACTCTTTTGTAAACAAGGTTTTTATTTTAACCATACTATTCATACAATATGTAAATAATATGTAGTAAATACTGTACATTTTGGAATGTACACAACGTAGGAGGGCTATTCTTTATACTTGGGGCAGCAAAGTAACATTTGGAGTTCTGGGCTGGATCTCCCCTACTTTGAACCTTCATGTGCTGGAAAACATTGGTGATTTCATCAGGTCTGTGGCAAAAAAAAACAAACAAAAAAAAAACTGTCCACTGCTTCATCTGTCCAGTTGTTCCCGCAGCCACTTCCCTGCACTCAGAGAAGGATGTGCCTGGCCATTGACATCCAGTACTTCAACCAGAACCCAGGCTTCATTACCCTGTCTTCCTCTGTGAATGGGAGAGGTGGTTGGGGAGCATCGGTGCTTCCATTAATGCTTCTAGGATTCCCAGGGTTGAAGATAACACAGATTCCTCCCCATTTGGGAAGGTCGAAATTTTGTGAAAGGGTGAGATCATAGGGGAGCTTTCTGTGGCCCAAACATGCATCCCTTGGTGGACCTGTAAGGCCTTCAAGCCAGAGGTTTCTCTTCATTTCTCCAGGAATCAGCCTTGGAGAAGTGATGTAGTTCTATCTTAGCATAGTAAGTAACATGGAAGGCATTTGTTTTGCACCCAGTGAGATCTGCCTGATTAAGTGAAAGAATGATAGAAGGGAAAAGCCAAATAAGGGGACGGTTAAGTCAGTCTTGAGATGAATGAAACATAACAGCATGATAGGGAAGCAGCAGTGTCTACATGTTGGATTAGGCATGGGTGAAATCAAATTAAAAACTGGCTACTATACAGTACAAAGATGAGTGTGGGGAAGCCCCTTGGGGAATTGCCTCTTTTTGTTCAGGCAGCAGAGGAGGTTTATTTTGTCCTGATTGGGCTGACATCCCTTTTCTCCACTTTCTGCCTAGTGTGATCACCTGATCTAATGCAAAAGGATGTTCGCAGGGGTGTCAGTTTCCCTCAGCCAAGCACCTGTTGTTTCCAAACAGTGGTCCTTTTTTAAAAAAATGCTTCTAAGTTAGAACTGATTCAGATAAGTGCTATGTCACTTTAGGGACTGGAAAGAGGCCAAGGGAAGGCGGTCCCAGTAGAAATCACCAATAGGCACATTGTCAGATCAAAAGGAGCTTCTATTATTGGAGCTCCATGCAAACGCATTTGACAGCGTTTTCTGCCTCTGCCCCTCCTGACTCGTACAACACGATAATTGTTTGACATCTCGACGTGCAGAAACCAGCAGGGACCCAATTTGAAAAAATGAGGATGAAAGCAGATCAAAGTGTATTTTCCCTGTTCTGCGCTTGCACCCTTAAACCAATGTCAAGACACTGAAATAAGCCTAACCCACAGCCTTATTTCACATATGAAAAGATACACCTGTGTAGTACAGAGATATGGAGTGCATGCTAACAGTGTGCTATAAGGGCTTCCTCACTGCTTTGTACAAATCACAAGGACCATTGTGAGCTAGTGAAATTTGCCCATCTGTCATCAACAGGATACAGGTAGAACAGCATTATGGTAAGAATTCTATTGGCCATCCATGATTGCATAAGGGAAATTGTGTAAGTTGTGATAGCAGATTGGCACTCGTTAATGAGGTGCCAGTTGAGTACCTGGGCATGTGCCTAACTGACAAGAATATTATAAAATTAAGAACTTTTTGTTTGTGTACATTTTATTTTTTATTTTATTTATTTATTGTGAAGAATTTAACTCTCTTAGTTGTCATTATGTTGCACCTAAGCTATATATATTATAGGAATGGGCATGATTTTTAAAATTAGTGACCTTTAGTGAGAATAACTAACTGTGTTGATAATCTTCAAATGATGATATAGGGAAGAAATCTTGTGCCTTAAGTGCTTTCCATCTTACAACTTACAGGGAAGTCACATGAAGATGAAAGACTTCTAAAGGTTATTTATTTTCCCTCTTTGAGTTACATTACATTACATTACTCCTTACTGAAGGAGAGCAATAACAAGTACATCTTGGAACACTCGTTGTGTAGCCACACATTGTTGCAATGACTCTATACAGTGATGTGAAAAAGGAAGTACACACTCTTTGAATTCTATGGTTTTACATATCAGGACGTAATAAAAATCTTTAACATGTCTGAAAATAAAGTAAATACAAGCTGAGATGAACAACAGCACATGACATATTACACCATGTCATGATTTATTTTGCAAAAAGTAAGCCAAAATAAGAGAAGCCATGTGTGAAAATCTAAGTACATCCGTACTGTTTCCATAGGAATGAAGAGGTTAAGTATGAGTCAGGTGCTGCTAACCAAATGCCCTTGGGTAACTGATCATCAGCAAGTGGGACAATCAGGGAACCGAAACAGGGAACCGATCATCACGCAGTGAAATTCCCCCATTCAAAACGTCATTTTGCAATCGCTTTTGCAATCGCAAAAACCTCGTCGTAATGCAGATTCGTCGTTAAACAGAGCACCCGTCTTGCGAGGCACCACTGTACTTCAAGTTATTGCTGCTGAAGGTGGTTCTAGTAGCTATTGAATCATAAGGTGTACTTAGTTTTTTCAACCATGGCTTCTCCATTTTGAGTTTTATTTTTGTAAAATAAATAATGACAATGTAAAATGTCATTGTTGTTGTTCATCTGAGGCCATATTTACCTAATTTTCAGACCTGTTAAGGATCAGATGATTTTTATTATGTCCTGATATATACAACCATAGAAAGGGAGTGTACTTTCTGTTTCACATGACTGTATATAATGATAAAAAGGAATGTATTTGTACTCAAACAGGATTATGGGCACTCCCTTCCTAAGAGTAGTACAATTTGGCAACTGGGGAAAGGGCCTATGTGATGGAGCCTTCTTGTGACAAACAAATCCCATTCATTTCTACAGGTCTACTCTAGTTGGGACTAGGATCAGATTTAGTCCTCTGTCTCTGTCTCTGTCTCCTTGGTTGTATTTTTCCTGGTTGCAACACTGTTTATTCGCCTTTGAGTGGCAGCTTACAAGTCTTTAAAATTTGTACTTGTGAACTGCTCTGTTGTTATAAAATTAGGCTGTTACTCTTTCATTCATAGATGCTACTCTTTAATTTTTTGAAAATTCCCCATTTCTTTTTGTTATTTTAACTGGATTTGTATAGAGTTTAACATTATTGTGTCACCCTGTGAACCATTACCAATGTTTTCCGTCAGTGTTGTCAACTTATTTTTGTGCCATGGAAAAGTATAAGTATTTTGAAAGCATAATCATCAAAGTGTTCTACATCTCATGTCGTTTTAAATAATACTAATCTAGTTGACATGGCTTTCTTTCAGGTCAATGGCAAGGATCTATCCAAAGCCACTCACGAAGAGGCAGTGGAGGCTTTTCGTAATGCAAAAGAGCCGATAGTAGTTCAGGTTCTGCGGAGAGCACCGCTGGTTAAAACACATGGAAGCTCACAGGATGTTCGCCTCATGGATGCTAGCACACAGACGGATATTACTTTTGAACATATTATGGCTCTGGCCAAGCTGAGGGCAACTACACCTCCAGTACCTGACATCTGTCCCTTCCTGCTTTCTGACAGGTATGGCATATTTTCTACAGAGCTATCAGTATACACTACTAGGATTTTCATTTTTTAGGGAAAACAGTTACTATCTAGAAAACTTTGAGGTTTATTGCTGATGTCACAGCCCTAAGAAAATGATTCTTGAATTTCTCAGCATTTATTCCTCTTTAAAGAGGGATTAGATAAATGGATGGAGATGGATGTGTAGCATGTCACTGAATAGAATTGTTCAAAAAGGGCAACACTGGGAAATATTGATGCTTACGTTCACTAAGATATCCCCATTAACAACTGCTCAAGGTTGATGAATGAATGCAGTTCTTGAAAGCATTCTTGTTTTAAGCTTCCAGTTCACAGGTCCCAGGGGATTTATTTTCCATAGTCCAAAAAAGTGATATTTCCAAGTTCTGATTAGGTCTGGGGTGGGCACCATGTCTTCTGGGCAGATCTCCAGCCTCCTCAAGGCCTACGAAATGTTGTTGCTCAATTTTGCTGTATTCTGGGGGTCCCTGTCAGCACCACCCTTTTTTCTCTCTCACTAAAAACAAATTTGTCCACTAGAGGGCACAAAGAGGCTTTTTTGGTTTGAAAACTTTTTAAAGTTCTTCAGTTAACTGAACACCCCTGTGACAACCAGTAGCAATAACAATATCAATAGTAATGGCAATATGCAAATTAGATTCTGGCCCTTCTCCTCCCTCTTTAGCTCCCCTCCCTTGGGTGTGCAGCCCATGGGTTGCCAGCAAATCTGAGAAAAGGCCCCCAACTTCCTTGAGAATGTCCACCCTTTCCACTAAATAAACCTTTGGCCTGATTCTACAGGGTTCTGGTTCTTATGCAGATTTGGGTGTTTCTCTCAGCAGATACCTTACTACAAGAGTTGTGGTATACGTTTGAGGAATAGCACATAGAGCATTTTGTCTCAAACTGAAGTACTTTCCTCAAATCATAGTTATGGGTGCCTGTGTTGTACTAATAAGTCTGTTAATTTATTTGCTTAAACTTCTATAAAAGTAGTTTGGACTTCTTTGTGTTTGAAGTAGAGATGGGGAAGAATATAAAAACGGATCATTTTTTATGACAAAAATAGCTGATTTTTAAATATTCATCCCTTCATATTTGTGGGTTCCAGAGACCTCCACGAATATGAAGAGATGAATATTTACCCGTTTTTATTCATCCTTCGTCTTAAAAAACAAAAACAAACCCATTCTTCCTATCGGCACGATCAGCTAATCAGTGGGAGAAAGGCAGTCACTCCCCCCAGCCACCCAACCCCACATCCTACCCTCCCATACCCTTCCTCTCCCTACCTTAGCCCTCCCCCACCCCACCAACCCCCCTTCTTATTAAAAAAACAACAACAAAAACCACCATTCTGCCTACCAGCCACCAGTCAACTGATTGGAGGCCGATAAGCAGCCACCCTTACCTTAATTGCTGCTGCCAAGGTCTCCTGGCCTCCCAGCCACGCATGTAAAAAGGGAGATTGGCTTGCCCTTCACAAAGATGGTGGCTGCAGCTTCACTTAAGGTAGGGAAGTTGAAGCTGCCTCTAGGTGCTTAGGGGCCAGTTTTAAGCACAGACGAAGCGTCAGATTGATTCATCAATTTGTTGAAGAATATTCGTATATTTGTATTTGTTGCTCCGTTAACCTTGACGAATCACAAATTTAAAAAAATCACAATTTTTTTATTTGTCCTCATCTCTAGTTTGAAGCAATATTAAAGTTCGCCTCCAATTTTTGTCATCCCCCCCCCCCCCCCAAGTTTTGGCAGTCAAAGCTTGCTCTCAAGCAGTTCTAAACAGGCATTTCTAAATCCTATTACACAAGATTTGAAAATATGGTCCCAAGTGCCTAAACTGTGCCTTTTGTTTTATTTTGTTCCGTGCAGCTGCCATTCTCTTCATCCAGTTGAGCATGACTGTTATGAAGGTACAGAATATCTTTCCAGTTTGCCTGCTGATGGAGATAGAACTGAGGAGTTTGAATACGAGGTGAGGCAGCTATCAAATATACATCTTAGCAACACACACATGTGCACGGTGTAATATTGGAACAGCTGTTTTCTTTGAAACTTTTTTTTAGTAGCAATGCACCATTCAGATGCATACCTGTACAGTTTCGTAGATTTCATTGGATCTGGAAATGTGTAAATGAAAACAGAGTATTGCCTTTTGGGTGTGTTTGAAAGTGAGAGAGATTATGGGTACCTGAGACTGGCCAGAATCTGGTTGCTGTTCACATAAGGTTGTGTAATGTGCCATGGCTAATTGCTGTTAGTTGATGAGGTACCAGGGTGCATCTTGGTTGTGTGTCTGCTTATGGACCCAATTGTGCATCTCAGATACACCTTAGCACATTGTCAATCAGCTTCAATGGGTTATAGAAATCCAGCAACCAGTTAAAAGAACACCCTTATTCTGAAGCCAAATATTAGGCTGCTTTGGTTTTATAGACTAGCCAAAACATGTATAAGTTTGTTAGTACAATCCTATGTGTTTCTATTCAGAAGCAAGCCTTATTAAGACCAGTGGAGGTCACTCTCAGATGAGGAGGTTTAAGATTGCAGTCTTTGAGGCTTAGTTGCTTGTCTTCAAAGTGTAGGGCAGGCACATACTGCTCCTTGCTTGCATATGTAGCTTGATCAAACGTAGGCTTGGTTCTTTCCACATCAAGGCCCAAGCTTGAAAATGAGGCCCTTTCTTTGTCTCATTCTTTTATGTTATATTTCCTGAATGTAGTACAATGAGAACAAATGATGCTCAGTGCCATGAGTATGTGACTATTGTGTATTTATTATATCTGTTGAAAGTATCTGCAGGAGGTATTGAAAAGCTGTGATGTATCATTGCCTCAAATAATAATAATACACTTTTTAGAAAGGTTTCCCCTTTGTTAGATTTCCATTTCAGAAACTAAAGGTCCTCTTTATTTCCTAGTCATTAGAATTTTCTTTTAGCACTGTAGCAAAAGAGCAAGTGTACACATCTTTTATGAATTTGATATGTTCATGCTTTGTGTGGGTTTCAACTGCAAATAGGATTTTCTTTTACTTTTTATTAAATAGTCTTCATTCAGTGGCACTTGGGATTAAGGAAAATGCAATTTATCTTTCTCATATTTGGTCTGGCTTCAAAATGTGTAATGAAGCCTTGCTTTATATTTGGAAACCAACCAGGCTGCAGCTTTGATAAATAGGAAATGGGTCTATTTAAGGATACTCTTATTTCGTTCTCATATGTGGATCTTTAGAGAAGACTTGGAGAAGCTTACAATTCTTAAGGGAGTTAGATGAGCCTCCAGTTCATCCCATAAGACAAAAGAAAATGAAATAATGGTGGCTTACCAAAGCTTACCCAGGATAAGTTTTTATTTGTACTGTTTGTAGAAATCGTTATGAGATTGTACGAAATTGATTTTTCCTAGCCTGGCCTTACAAGAAGCAGGAAAAAGCCATTAAATTCATGGTTAAAATCATTTTAGCTGTTTACTGAGTAAATGTTGCATGCCAGTTTGTAAAAATCATTTGTATGGCAGAAATATCTGGCGTTAATGGTTTTAAAAGTCCAAACTGTAAAACTGAAAGAAAGCATTGAGCAAGTTGTTTTATTTTCCCATTTAATCAGAATATCAATGATATATTAAAAATACAATTAGACTGTGCACACAAAGAGAGATTAGTACAGAGGAATCATGTCCTCTTCGTAACTATTATTAATCCATAATAATAGCCAGCATAATGTTGTAACAGTTGTAAATGAGCAGGTAGGCTTTCAGGAGCCTGTAATCTCAACTAATCATCCCATCCTGGTCATTAATTTGCTGTCAGCTATGATTCAGTAGCCCAAGGCAAATGTGCTGAGTGACTAAAATAAAGTGTGTTTCTCATGAAATTTAAATAGGAAAAGAAGCCAGTGGGTTTTGCAGTGAGAGGAAGAAAATGTTCAAGGAAAGGAATGCGTAGTCTCTATCCTTTGGCAAATCAAGATAGGAAATGCAATTTCTGTGATGTCAAAAAGTATCCCACATCCCCGAAGAGAGGGGGAATTTCTCACCAGCCGCACAGCATTGCACACTACAAATACACACACTTCAGTGTACAAATATATTGGAATGGAGCAGAGGAGCACAAATTGGTGTCCTCCAGATGTTTCAGCCTGAAATTCTGATAATCTTTGAACAGTGTCCATACTGACAAGACTTGAGGAAGTTGTATTCCAAAATGTCGGGGGGGGGACACCAGATTTTCTACCCTGGCATAGAGACTTTGATCATTCCTGGCCAAAAGTCTGCTGAAGTCAATCATAGAAATGTAGAGCTGAAGGGTATCTCAAGGGTCATCATACAACCTGCTGCCAATACAGGAAGCCCATAGCTAATGCATCCCTGAGAGATGGCCATGCAGACCTCTAGTTAAAAGCTTCTAATGAAGTAGGGGTCATCAGAATCTGGTGGTTCAGGTCCTACCCTGTGGAGTAGCACAAAACATACTTGCTCCATCTATCATATGACAATTCTTCATGGGTTGTCATAACAGCTCTCAATCTTCTCTTCTCCAAACAGAATATGGGTGACAAAGCTAGACACTTGCAGACTAGATGGTAATAGTGGATCAGTAGTAATATTTGGTCAAATGCACATCTGCATCAGTGGTGGTTTGTTCATTAGGGCAAGTAGGGTATTGCCCTAACTCAGACTATCCCCAGCCAGCCTACAACTGCTTGCCTCCTTACCAGCAGCAGAATGCCACAGAATGTGCTGTCTTTGTATGCATTTGTGTGAGTATACCTATGTGTATATATCCATTTTTACTCTTGCTTGCATCCACCATTAGCTGCTGTGCCTTCTGCCCCACCAAACGGCATAGGCACCAGCTACCATTGACCTGCATGCAAGGTACAGAGATACGAAGTAGCAGGAATATTTTGCCATAAAGGATCCCTAAATCGCAATTTTTCCCCGTACCTCCTGCATTTTGCCCAGTGGTCATAGCTATTTGGTCTGTAATGTAAAATGTCAGAGGATTTGGGCATACTGAAATTTGGATCCATGTGGTGTGCTGGGAATAGAAATTCTAAACAGAGTTTGGAAAGTTACTTTTAATTAGCATAATGACATTCTAAGGCCATCTGTGACTGAGCTATCATAGTTTTAGAAGAGTTAGCTGTGTTAGTCTGCGCAGGCGTATCAGGCAAAACCCAAAGAAACAAAACAAAACAACATGTGGCATCTTCAAGACTATTATATTTTAATGCAAGCTTTTGTGGACACATCCACTTAATCTGATATCAGAAACCACAATACACAGAAACCTATCTCCAACCATTTCAATCTAGCAGGTCACTTTGTAGAAGATTTGAAAGTCACTATTTTAGAACAGAATCAATACAGAGAGAAACAAGTAAAATAAGTAAAATGTATACGCATGATGCACACTCATAGAAATGGATTGAATATAAGCCTAGGTTTCTTAAGTCATTACCAAATGTAATGACAATGTTGTTATCCACTTCCACTGTTATTTTCTTTACATCTGCCAAGCCCACTTCTCATCACAAGGCTCTAAGATAAAAACTCTCTATATTCATCACAAAGCTCTAAGGTAAAAACTGTCTATACTCCCTAAATTAACACACATGATTCTTCTGCTAACTTCTTTTATTCTTTCTTTCCCCTCTTGAGGTTTAACTGCACCTTCAGCCCCCCTTCTTTCTCTTTTTTCTCTTCTTCCTCCCCTCAGACCCCGTCCAGACCTTGTGTCTGTTTTCTATCTTCCTGAAGTGTTTTTACAACAAGACTGTAAAACAATCGGAAGCCTAATTACTTCATGTAACTAATAAACATTTAAAATGTGAAAGTGATATTTCATCTACATTTCATTCCATTTCATTCTGTTTCCTTACGTCTGATGAAGTGGATGTGTTTACGAAAGCTCAGGGAGCTGGACAGGGGACAGATTGGATTTGTCTTCAGTGTGGAAGGGATTGTCACTCTCGAATTGGCCTCCTCAGCCACACTAGATGCTGTTCCAAGTCCTCCATACAGAGCACGTTACCATAGTCTTTCAAGGCTGAAGGATGCCTAATGAATGAACAGTAAAATATAATAGTCTTTAAGATGCCACATGTTTTTGTCTTTTGGGGTTTTTTTTGTTTGTTTTGTTTCTTTGGATTTTGCCTGATGAGCTGTGGTAGGACAGTGCTCTTGAACCCAGTCATGAGTGGCTTCAGCACATCATTATATCCATCTTTTCAAAACTCTGATTCTGAAAAGTATATACAAAAGGAAAGAAAAATGTAAAAAGGTGGTAGGAAGAGATGGAGAGTTGTTGGAGCACTGAGGTGTGATTGCCTTTCTAGCCCTAAGCTGGACTGCTGGCCTCTGAATGATATTTCCCCCCTCACGGGCATTAAGCTAAGATTCTACTGCCATAATATTTGGTTTCTGGACAGGAAATGGTGGGGGCTTCATCTTGTTGTTCCCTTCTGACAACTAGATATCTTGAGCTAAGCCTGCTTTTTGCAGTCTCTGGATTCACTCCCACATGAGAGATTTGATGCAAATGAGAATGGAACAAGGGGTTTAGGTTACTTACGTGTTGAATCTCCTCAGACAACACAGATCTACTGGCTGACAGCAAGTATAACTTAGGCAGCAGGCAAAACCCATTGTAATAAGTTATTCATGACAGTGATATTAGCTGCAAAATTAGATATTTCCAGATTGATCAGTGCTCCCCATCACCATCACCACACAAATTCATCTGTGTTGGTGGTCTATCAAGAAAATGTCCTGTATAAGTATTCAGAGCCTTTTGAAAAAGGATATGATGGATCCAATAGACTGTGACAGATCTGTCTATCTTGTGAATACATATTTAGAGTCTTTTCAACACATGGCTTATTTACCCACTAGACCAAGACAGATTTGTCTATCTTGTAATGGCATATTTAAAGACTCCCCCACAACACAAGAATTACTAAACTAATAGCCT